GATCAGCTAGCACGTGGATCAGTTCTATATATATATATATATATATATATATATCGTCGAGGGCAAGTTTCTCGTGAGGACTGATTGATTATGCTTTCCGAAGCAGCTGTATGTCGATGAAACGTGAAACAGTCACGTATCCATAATGAATGGAGGCAAAATTGCATCAGTTTGTGTTCGACGCTGAGCAATGAGCACTTTTTAAAAACGATGATTGTCATTGTTGCTGTCCGGGCTCTTTGCCAAACAAACTGTATGCAAGTAGAACTTTTGGTGGCATCTCCCCACAGACATTTACTACGTGGACATGCAAGACTGTAGCAGGGTCTGGATTTTGGTGGAACTCGTGTCATCCCATGGAGTCCGCCCCTTTCGATCCACCACGTGAGCATCGGCTCCAGCTTTCAGTAGCTCTTGTACAAAGTCATGATGTTGCCGAAAGGCTGCAATATGCAGTGGATATTGCAGCTTGTCATTGGGAATATTGAGGTTTGTGATAACGGGAGCTCGCGTCAGTTGATGGAGGACCGCCAAGTGGCCGTGTCGGGCAGCTCTGGACACGGCTGTGTTGCCCTGAAATCCTCGATGATTCATGTACCGTTGTAATTTGGCTGTTTCCACTTTGAGTAACGTATCCAACAGGAATTGTACGGCCATTTCTTGGCCTCCCTCGGCTGCCCAAATGAGCAGGGTACTCCCAGTGTCATCGGGTGTCAAAATCTCCGTAATTGACAAGGATTGCAGTGTTTCCATATCACCATGCAAAGCAGCCATTGTGGCTCTATTAGTAGAGGCATGTTGTCGTGTTGGTGAATTGGATATTGACGGTGTGTTTGTTGATGAAAATGAAAGACGAAAGGTTTGATACCAATGCCTGGGTAGTTCCGTCAAGTGTTGGACCACGACATCGGCTCTGTGTATTGGTTCCCCTTGTCGTTGCCACAGTAATGCTGTGGAAACACCGGCGGCCTTTCCAAATAAAATGTCATTGGCGGGAGAATCCCCCACCATGACAAACTCTTTGGTCAAAAATGGCTCCTTCCATTCTTGTGCAATATACTGCAGCGCCGCTGTATCTGGTTTGGGCGGCAACAGTGGCTCGGTATCTCGTGCAACAATGGGAGATATGATCGGCCCATTTGCGTGTTGCAAGAGTCCCATAAACCGCTCCGTCGTGGCACGTGTATTGCGAGTGACCAATGCTGTGGGAATCTTGTAGTATGCCAAGAATTGTAAGATTCCCAGCGTCCCTGGCATGAGCTGGAGTGTCCGTCGACCTTCGCCTTCCATTTCTTCCACAATGGCAGCGGCACGTTGGGCGTCGTCTTCCTTCTCCATTTCATCAATGGCTTGCAAAATATCTTGTTTCTGATCAACACCACAACGACGGTACATCAATGCGAAATCCAAATTGGGCACGGTCAAAGTTCCGTCCATATCAAAAATGACGCCACGCAATTGCGGCCTGGAGGATACTACTACCAATGAGTCTGGTGGTGGATGGGCACTCATGGCCATGGCTTGCAGGAACGGCAGCAAAGCTCTACTATACGTCCACATCATGGTCTCCCAAATGAAGATAGTGCGACGGAATGATCGGATTTTGGGAAGAAAAAATGAAGGGATTGGGCACAACGTCATTCCAGATGACGAATTCTGCAGAATTCAGGTGAAAATTCTGTGGAAAAATTGATTCCGCAGAAGTTTGAATTTTTTCTCCTGCAATTCTGCTGAATTTTACTTTTCTGCAGAATTACCCCTTTTTCTACAGAAATATGGGTCATAGGCTATAATCCCCCACCCATGTTGTGGCTCCACTATTTCTATGCAGTTGCTTTGCTTTGTTGATGCTGCTGCATACATCTGGGGAGAACTGTTATGGCTGTCACTAGCTGGGAGAGTTGATTGGTAGCTAGCTAGTGATAACTAGACTAGCTGGGGCTCAGCAGAATATTTGGAATGGAGCTGGGGAATTAGAACCCACAGAGACGTCACTGAATGGGAAAGTTGATTGGCAGCTTGCATCTCAGCATAGTACTTGTAATGGAACTGGGAATGGATCTGAGGGCAAGGAGCTCTGGGAGAACCAACTGCTGGCTCGGGCTAGCTAGCTATCACTGGCTAAGAAAGATGGTTTGATTACTACTAGGTAATGCTAGCTAGCTAGCTAGGTACAGCTGGCCTCAAGAGAGGCCCAGCAAAGCAACTACCACGACTGGTAACCTGTTACCTTCCCAGCCAAAACTGACGACACCGTGACACCACGAAGCTTGCAACAAGCCAACTCCGCAGTGTCTAGTTGGCTAGCTACCATGCACCAGTACCAGTATGGGGAGTTGGGGAATATTAGCATGGTCATTGAAAGAACAGCCTGGATTGGAAAAAAGTTCTGCAGAATTACGAATTTCACAGAATCTGTGCAACAGATCAATCATTCGTTGTTTGTGTTAGCGCCTCATTTTTTGGCGCGCCGAAGGTGCCTTGTGGGTTCTGTGCTCGCAGTATTGGTTGGTTGAAAAACAAATACTTACTTGTTATCTATCTATTGACAAAGACTGAGTCTTGCATCCGGTGGGTGGGATCCGGTAGGGTGTCTACGTGACTGACAAAACCTTCCTTGACAGAGCTCGACCATTTGTCAGCGCTCGGATATGCGGTGAAGTGGGAAACCCTTGGTAGGATTTCTACATACGCGATGATTGCCAGCGACACAAATGACCAAGCAGGCAGGGGGATGGTGCATGCGAAATTCAAATCACGGGAGAGTAGGGCGACCAACAAACTGAATCACCATTTGAAAGGTGACCTTTCGGACACCGAGTGCGTCATGCATTGGGGTGACGTTTGGCGGGGCAGGCTTCCGTTGAGAAGGCGGGATTGAGGTGCATACTTGGCGGGCACATGTTCGCCAATGACAAAATGATGGTTCGATGCACCTCTGTTTCTACACTAACTAGTACAGTAGTAGCCTCAACAAGAAGCACAATGGAATGGCCTCACAATTTCGTTGCAAACCAAGTCAAAAACCAACGACTACTTTACACTATGGTTAAGAAAGACTACCGTCATGATGATGCTGTCTGGATCAAAGGTGGCACTCATCTCCACCAGGTCACCAGCTTTCTTCGTCCTTGTGGAAATGTGTTCTGCCTTGTGCAACTCCATGATTTTCGCCAGGTGCGAGTGCGTTACAGCAACATCTGCCCTTTTGTGGAGTCTTCTTCAAGTCGTCGCCAGATGGCTGTTCGTGTGGCCGTTCAAGAGGGATTTTCTGAAGCCGACATTGCCGTTGCTGGTGCCTGGGTCCCTCGAGACATGGCTTTGCTTTTCTTTTGTTCTTTTTTTTTTTTTTTTTTTTTTTTTTGCTACGCAGGATGGCTGTGAGATGGAAGATGAGATCCAGAACCTCCGTCTCTTGTTGGGCAGAGAGAGGCGTGAGCATGGAGATCTCAGGAGAAGCATGCGCGATCTTGCTGATTTGGTTGCCAGCGAGTGTCAAGAAGGCGAGTCCTCTACTTAAATTTGTTAAGCCCTACTAGTCGCCATTTTTACATCAATCGCCAGTTTACAGCAATAATCTAGTGTAGTCGCCTGTTCAAATTAAGTCAATCCTGCACACAACTTCAACGGAAGAAAAAACAAAAACAAACAACGGCAAAGTCGGTAGTGCAAAAGGTGGAGGTCGAGTATGAACGCGGTGAGAGAGTAAGGATCAAAGGCGGAAGTACGTGAACCATCGTTATGGAGTATTTCGAGGGTATGCCGGGACAATGATGTGTCGCATCAAGGTGGAGCATGATTGCCAACAAGAGCGAACCATCTACTTGACACTCCATCAAGAAAATTGACCAAGGACAACAAAGAAACAGCTACAAGAGACGATTGATGAGATGAGCAACATGATGGAAAACATGGCTATAGAGATTACTGATTTGAAAGAAAAGGTTGTGCATTTGGAGGAAGAGTTGCATGTCAAGGAAGAAGGCGAAAGCCAGTAGTAGCTAAGCGTCGGATGTAGTAGACTGTTGTTTTTTCTTTCGGCCTCTGTGCTTTGCTTTTTTGATGACGTCCTTCTCTTGTAGAGAAACCACCATGTTGCCGACACTGAACTTGTTCTCTTTAAAGAGCTCTTCCAGCTCAGCGATAACTTCGTTGGTGGTGAGGCCTTTGCTTTTGAGTAGGCAGTGATGCCATTGATGATTCGCTTTGTCTACTGAAATTGTTGATTGTCCAGTATGTTTTCGCCACTTGTGCACCACAGCGCTTTTCTCTTTCGCAATACCGATTCGCCGCAATGTACCAGGTACATCCTTCATCCCATAGATGGACAAAGACGTGCAAATAACACGGCTCTTAGCCTTATCGCAACTCGATCCTAGATAGGGTTTTGAGTTCGACTCATGACTGAGTCTCTCGTGAATAGTCTTTTGAGACAGGGTTCTCAAATGACCGCTCTAGTAATACTAGGTCGATGATGAAAAATCGCTCCTATATATTTAGCCAGCGTGGTGGAGTACTTCCACGCTACTAGATCCAGGGTAGACAAACCCTGTCCACGCGTTCCGTTTAGATCGTGGAGATAGAACGTAGGGCATTACCAACTACAACTATCTCATCACACTTCCATAAGTCTCCCGCGGAAGCCAGATCTACGATCCCTTGATGAATATCTCTCTCGTTGATTAGTTTTAAAAGCTTTCTAATCTCTCTCATAACATTCATTCTCTCGAATTACTCAAAACACTCGAAAGATCTTTATCACACTTTAGCGAGTGCATTTTTTAACAAACACAATAGCTTCAGCTACCCTCAACCCATTCCTCACCAAGAAGATGGCGTCAAGAAAGGCAGCGTTCCCAACTTTCGGAAAACAGTTGCGTGACAAACCCAATTTTCCTCTCGTCGACAATGACGAAGACACGAGATCGACGATAACCGTGCAACCACC